TTAATATTTACAGAGTCAGGATTTAATATTTACAGTCAGGATTTAATATGTACAGAGTCAGGATTTAATATTTACAGAGTCAGGATTTAATATGTACAGAGTCAGGATTTAATAATTACAGAGTCAGGATTTAATATGTACAGAGTCAGGATTTAATATTTACAGTCAGGATTTAATATTCACAGAGTCAGGATTTAATATTTACAGAGTCAGGATTTAATATTTACAGTCAGGATTTACTATTTAGAGTCAGGATTTAATATTTACAGAGTCAGGATTTACTATTTTGAGTCAGGATTTAATATTTACAGAGTCAGGATTTAATATTTACAGAGTCAGGATTTAATATTTACAGAGTCAGGATTTAATATTTACAGAGTCAGGATTTACTATTTACAAATATTTAACTTTCAGTAAAAGTGAAGAAAATGTAAGCAGAGTGAGATAAATAATGAAAGTGTTAAGGCCCTGTCACACTACACAACTTCTGAAACATTTTTTTGTCTAAATTGCTGATAAAAGTTGTGTATTTGATCAGTTTGTTAGAATTACAGTTTGTACGCCGAAAAGAAGCTTCCTGTTGTTTACAAATCCAGCTACAACATGGACGTCTTTAAAATGTACTTAAGTTGCTGGTGTGACATTTTTTTACATTTTATTTTTACACTAAACATGTCAGCCTCACCTGAACTCACATTTTAATGTTTCTGACCAAAGAGGACAGATTATCTGTCAGAACGGTTCTGACAGGTGTCAGGTGTTCTGTTCTGTTAAGGAAATGAAAGTAAACGTTTAAGATTCGGAGTAAAACTTTGTTTTCTTTGACAGTCGACAAACAATATTTAACTACTTTAACGTTAAATATTGAAAATTTACCAACTAAACTTATGGGTTTAGTTTGCTTAAAGATGCCATGAAGGATTTTTATATAAGTGGCCATTCCAACACGTTGCACAAAGCTAAATATAAGAAGCTTACTGAAGTACATAAACAGCAACTTTTTATCTAAATCAGAACCATATCRTCTGCATTCAATGAGTTTTATACTCTCTAAAGTTAGTGTTTATTTTTTGTTTGCTTCCATTATTTGTAGCCTGATTAAAAAAACAAACCGTTGTTCTGCACTGGATGTTGGTTTAGTAAACATGAACTTTTTAAAAATGACAGTTTTATTACATTTAGGTAAACGTGCAGCACTATTCCATCCTTTAAACTGCCCATCCCTGCCTTAGCTCATGAGATATTTCGCTAACAGACACACACAGTTGATTTATGCAAAAACACAACATAAAAGCACAATAAAAGAACTCGTTTTTCAACTAAATTTCTTTACTGTGTTATAATTTATGACCCATAACTGTGTTTTTAAACTTTCTCAGCATTTTTACGTTAAATTCTTCAAGTAAGAAGTGTATTTATGGCACATTTGAGTCAAACTACTGTGGTATGGAC